TCTGTGAGGCTAGGTTGGTAAAGGTTGACACTATTCTTTAGACTCAGGTACCTTTTTTTTTCCTTAACTGAGTCTCTTTCAAAATGTTATCTTTTACTTTGTATAAGGAATTTAATAAATATTGGTCATTGAAATTGAATAGTTTTATTGATGAAAATATAACAATTTTATAAAATTATTCTTGAATTGGTACTACGAGTAACATGAGTGTTCTTAACAATGCGAATGTATGGGCAACATGTGTGTTTTATTATGCGAATGTATATGTAACACGTGTCTTCTTAGAAATGTGAATGTATGAATAACATATATGTTTTTAACCATTAAAATGTACAGGTCACATGTTTGTTCATAACAATACGAATGCACATGTAACATGTGTATTTTTAACCATTCGAATGTATGGTTTAAAAGACACATTTTTGTACGAGTAATGCGAATGTACAAGTAACATATGTATAGATAACATGTGTCTTCTTATCAATGTGAATGTACAAGTACATTTGTGTTTTTAAGCATTAAAATTTATGGGTCACATGTTTGTTCTTAACAATACGAATTGGTACTACGAGTAACATGAGTGTTCTTAACAATGCGAATGTATGGGCAACATGTGTGTTTTATTATGCGAATGTATATGTAACACGTGTCTTCTTAGAAATGTGAATGTATGAATAACATATATGTTTTTAACCATTAAAATGTACAGGTCACATGTTTGTTCATAACAATACGAATGCACATGTAACATGTGTATTTTTAACCATTCGAATGTATGGTTTAAAAGACACATTTTTGTACGAGTAATGCGAATGTACAAGTAACATATGTATAGATAACATGTGTCTTCTTATCAATGTGAATGTACAAGTACATTTGTGTTTTTAAGCATTAAAATTTATGGGTCACATGTTTGTTCTTAACAATACGAATTGGTACTACGAGTAACATGAGTGTTCTTAACAATGCGAATGTATGGGCAACATGTGTGTTTTATTATGCGAATGTATATGTAACACGTGTCTTCTTAGAAATGTGAATGTATGAATAACATATATGTTTTTAACCATTAAAATGTACAGGTCACATGTTTGTTCATAACAATACGAATGCACATGTAACATGTGTATTTTTAACCATTCGAATGTATGGTTTAAAAGACACATTTTTGTACGAGTAATGCGAATGTACAAGTAACATATGTATAGATAACATGTGTCTTCTTATCAATGTGAATGTACAAGTACATTTGTGTTTTTAAGCATTAAAATTTATGGGTCACATGTTTGTTCTTAACAATACGAATTGGTACTACGAGTAACATGAGTGTTCTTAACAATGCGAATGTATGGGCAACATGTGTGTTTTATTATGCGAATGTATATGTAACACGTGTCTTCTTAGAAATGTGAATGTATGAATAACATATATGTTTTTAACCATTAAAATGTACAGGTCACATGTTTGTTCATAACAATACGAATGCACATGTAACATGTGTATTTTTAACCATTCGAATGTATGGTTTAAAAGACACATTTTTGTACGAGTAATGCGAATGTACAAGTAACATATGTATAGATAACATGTGTCTTCTTATCAATGTGAATGTACAAGTACATTTGTGTTTTTAAGCATTAAAATTTATGGGTCACATGTTTGTTCTTAACAATACGAATTGGTACTACGAGTAACATGAGTGTTCTTAACAATGCGAATGTATGGGCAACATGTGTGTTTTATTATGCGAATGTATATGTAACACGTGTCTTCTTAGAAATGTGAATGTATGAATAACATATATGTTTTTAACCATTAAAATGTACAGGTCACATGTTTGTTCATAACAATACGAATGCACATGTAACATGTGTATTTTTAACCATTCGAATGTATGGTTTAAAAGACACATTTTTGTACGAGTAATGCGAATGTACAAGTAACATATGTATAGATAACATGTGTCTTCTTATCAATGTGAATGTACAAGTACATTTGTGTTTTTAAGCATTAAAATTTATGGGTCACATGTTTGTTCTTAACAATAGGAATGCACAGATAACATGTGTATTTTTAAACATGCGAATATATGAATAACATGTATGTTCTTAATCATGTGAATGTACATATAAAATGTATTATTAATCATGCAGCAAAAAATACTGCCCCGTGCATATGCACGGGTAACTTGCTAGTTTATATATATATATATAGCTTTTATATATTTATATATGTATGTGTATATGTGTGAAATTTATATATATATAGCTTTTATATATGTATTTATGTGTAATTTTATAACTTTATATATATTAATCGGGTTCGTGGTAGGGTATTAACAATATTAAACCCAAACCCGAAATTTGAACCCGGGTAAAACCCGAACCCGAACCTAATTACATCGAGTTTTCCCCGTTAAATTCAGATTGGGTTCAAACGGATACCCACAGGTTCGGTTTTCATTGCCATCCCTAATTTTCTTCTAAGCTGAATCCAAGTAAATTCACCACCACCGAGGGTAAAAGTCATGATCAGTCACTTGGTCTTAACTGAATTTCAAACATCATTCTATCATTATAATATAATAAAATCTACTTATTATAATATTATAATTTATCCGGTACGTGAACATGAACATATTGGAAACTCAGTTTCACATTATTTGTATTGTTCTTTTAGATATGATTTAAATATATGTTGAGATTTTTTTTTCATTGTCAATTAGTTTAGAAATAAAACCTTAAGATAATATAGAGTCAGAACTCATCTTCTTTTTTGGTTATCAGAAACTAAAAAATATCCTTTAATCATATATTAAAGGTGATTCTTCTTCATCTAGCCCGACATACTATTGTGTTGGGGCTTGTTAGAAAAATAAGTCTTATATCGGTCGAGTGATTTTCCTAAGTTATCACACTTCTTATCCCGTATGTGGTGGTGTCATTGTAGTGAGTGGTAACAACCACAAAGATCGACACAATTTTTAATTTTTAAGGGAAGATGATAAAAATCCTTAAATTGGTTATATGAATCATTTTGTGCTCCTTTTCATATTTGATATTGGCACCCCATTCACATATTTATAATATTGATTTTGATTTTAATAGAAAACCCTACACCTTGACTATAAATTCATGTGTTTTGATTAATATGATATAGTAAATTAATGTATGTCAGTTTATGTTTTTTAGCCAGATATATTCCTTACCATCTCGTAACATAGTTTCAAAAAGAATATTTAAAAAATATAATTATGATAATATTATTTAAAAAAGAAACTTAAGTGATTTATCAATAAAACAAGTTATCAAAACGGGTTTGGACTAATTTATATAAGACTCACACTAATGGGGTTGGACTATAAAATATGGTTATAATTTATGTATGTCAAATTATAACCTAAATACCCTCATAAACAAATATAAGTGAATATTAATGAATAACTCTTCTTTAAACACACTTACTTCATTATACCATTTTTTATAAAGAGTGTATTTGAAAAAAGTGATTAATATTATATGTAAATTTTATATGTTTATAAAACTATTAAGAGTGAGTACTTGCCCAATTTTAAAATTGGTTATTTTAATAAAAGATATTACAATGTATTCAGACCCTATAAATTTAGGACTTTGTCGTTCTGGGCAACCCATTTTAAGAGGCCTAATACTTCCCCTCTACTAATGTTTGTAAATGGAGTGGTTGACTGAAGATGATGTGTCAAAAGGAGAGTGGTTGACTGAAGATGATGTGTCAAAAGGAGAGTGGTTGAGTTGTTACATTTCTCTTTTCACACGATGTTAGTTTTAAAACATCAACCATGTGGTGTATTGAGACACAACGTGGCTAAACAAAGGCCCAAAATAAAACCCACCCAACTTCTTTAAATTAATTTTATATAATTAAAAAAACAAAAAAAGAGAAGATTGAAGAAGAAATAACCAAAATACCACACAACAAAGGGTTCCATTTTCCACTACCAGATCCCACCGATCATTTGCGTCATCACTGGTGAGTTCTCTTCTTCCTTGAAATTTTTATCGTATGCATCGAATCTGCGCCTAATTTGTATTAGATTCGACCTTCAAACGCTGTAAGGGTTGAGATTTGTGTTCAATGCGAACCCTTACATAATCGATATGTTCCTATTTGAGCTGCAATGAGGTTTTATTTTTCTAGGATTTCGTCAATTTCCCCAAAAGTTATGATTTTTTTATCTCTATAAAAGGACGGCCTAGTGTATGAGGCTTCCGAATAGTGAGGTCCGAGAAGGTAGATGTATGTATTCTTAGCCTCGCAAGCGGAAAAACTATTTTCAGGATTTGAACGCATGACGATCGGTTCACAAGCAACCTTATTGTTGTGCCGAGGCTTGCCCTCTTGATTTTTTATATTTATATTTTGCAATTTTTATGTGTACAAATATTGTGCTAAAACCTTGATATTATCTAAATTGATTTTTTTAGTTTAATATTTTTATTTTTAGTGTTTTTTTTGTTATATCTGATTTGGATTGAGCTAGCTTAGTGGTGACTTGTTGAGTTCTGTATATTGGAAGCTATTGTTTTATTGTGTGTAAACAATATAAATGAAAACAAGAGTTGCATTGCACTATTTATGTGGGTTTTGGCATGTCCTGATTACATATTAGTATTTTGATTGGTTGCTTTTGAATTCTTAATAGGGTCTGATTATGATTATTGCAAGCATAATTTTGAGTTTTCCTTCATGCACTCACATGTGTTAGATTGAAAGTTGGGGCAACACGTGTTGTAGAAAACATGGTAAAATCTCACCTTAGTTTCTTGTGCACATGGGTAGAAAAAGGGAAGCCCATCGCACGAGGCTCCCACCTAGTGAGGTTCGGGGATGGTAGATGTATGCAACCTTACCCTCGTAAGTGAATGGGTTGTTTCCAGGGTTTGAACCAATGACCTCCATGTCACATGGTAAGCAACCTTAGTGTTGCGTCGAGTCTCACCCGCCTTTTAAAAAGAGGTGCATGAAGAGGACTTCCTAGGAGGTCACCTTCCTAGTAATATTCTCGCCCAAACATGCTTTATTATGGAGTTCTAATGGGATCCGATGTATTAGTACTGTTATGATCACACCTGGCAAAATCATTAAGACAGATTTAGGGCTGTCTGTAAGAACTTATATATAGCCTATTTGGGCTTATGGGAACAACTTATGAAAATAATTTATAAAAATTGCTTACAGCCACCCTATAAGCTCTTTTTAGCTTATTTCACTATGTTTATTAGAGAATCATATGAACATAAGCTCTTTTTAGCTTAATTTAAAAAATCTTATTTAACAAGTGCTTTATTAAGCTGTGTGTTTATCCAAATGAACCCTGAGGCTAAATGTTTTGTCTACAGACATGATTAACAATAGAAGATTATGACATTGTTTAATTCATGTAGCCAACTCTACCTAGTGTGAAAGGCCTAGTTGTTGTTAGTCTCTGTCGTTTTTGTTGTTGTTGTTGTTTTCATATGCTCAAATTTTATTGGTTAGCCTCACAGTTATTATCCAATTACTCTTAGCTTTATTTTGTTTCATGATATCTAGTTATAAACAATTTGATTAACACTAACTCAATTTGTTTTGTTGTAAAACTTGAAATGACTGACAGGCAAGCATGAGGGGCATTCTTTCTTTGAAGAGGACAGCCTTGGTTCAGCAACATAGTGAGAAGTTGGGCATTGGTTTGAGATTATTTAGCACTCAGGGTGCTTCAACTGCTAGTACTCCACAGCCTCCTCCTCCTCCACCACCTCCAGAGAAAACTCATTTTGGCGGTCTTAAGGATGAGGACAGAATTTTTACTAACTTATATGGGTTGCATGATCCATTTCTCAAAGGTGCCATGAAAAGGGGTGATTGGCATCGAACTAAAGATTTGGTTCTTAAGGGCACTGATTGGATTGTGAGTGAAATGAAGAAGTCTGGCCTCCGTGGACGTGGTGGTGCTGGTTTTCCTTCTGGCCTCAAATGGTCATTCATGCCAAAAGTATCTGATGGTCGTCCTTCCTATCTTGTTGTTAATGCTGATGAAAGTGAACCTGGAACCTGCAAAGATAGGGAAATTATGAGGCATGACCCGCATAAATTGCTAGAAGGTTGTTTGATTGCTGGAGTGGGAATGAGGGCTAGTGCTGCTTACATCTACATCAGGGGTGAATATGTAAATGAACGTATAAATCTTGAAAAAGCTAGGCAAGAGGCTTATGCAGCTGGTTTATTGGGCAAGAATGCATGTGGCTCAGGCTATGATTTTGATGTTCATATCCACTTCGGTGCTGGTGCGTATATTTGTGGTGAGGAAACAGCTCTTTTGGAGAGCCTGGAAGGGAAGCAAGGGAAGCCAAGACTAAAGCCGCCTTTCCCAGCTAATGCTGGATTGTATGGCTGCCCCACCACTGTAACAAATGTTGAAACTGTGGCTGTTTCTCCAACCATCCTAAGGCGTGGCCCTGAATGGTTTGCCAGTTTTGGTAGGAAGAACAATGCGGGGACTAAATTGTTCTGTGTGTCAGGTCATGTGAACAAGCCTTGCACCGTCGAGGAGGAAATGAGTATTCCACTGAAGGAGCTGATAGAGAGGCACTGTGGAGGTGTTAGAGGAGGATGGGATAATTTGCTTGCAATAATTCCCGGAGGATCATCTGTTCCACTGCTCCCAAAGCATGTATGTGATGATGTTTTGATGGATTATGATGCATTGAAGGCTGTCCAGTCAGGGTTGGGGACTGCAGCTGTGATTGTGATGGATAAGTCTACTGATATTGTCGATGCTATTGCAAGGCTTTCTTACTTCTACAAGCATGAGAGCTGTGGGCAGTGCACACCTTGCAGGGAGGGAACAGGATGGCTTTGGATGATCATGGAAAGGATGAAAGTTGGGAATGCCAAGCTAGAAGAAATCGATATGCTTCAGGAGGTGACTAAGCAAATTGAAGGGCACACAATCTGTGCATTGGGTGATGCTGCTGCATGGCCTGTGCAGGGTCTTATCAGGCATTTTAGGCCAGAGCTTGAGAGAAGGATTAGAGAGCATGCAGAAAAGGAGTTGCTGGAGGCTACTGCTTAGGCTTATACCAAGGTTGTTTCGTATATTTGCCTCCCTCATTTTTTAATAAATTTTTTTATAGAATTTTTATTTGCTACTTGCTTGATTTTATAAATGATTAGGCTTGAAATAGTATATAAACAAAAGAGTGAAAGTAGAGCAAAGAAATATGTTAACTCTTATGGGAGGGTAAACTTAAATTTGAGAGCTGATATGAGCTTGGCATTTGCTTCCTAACCAGCTATAACACAGAATGTCTGTGTCTTACCTCGTTCAAGAGTATGTCTTGTTAAATAAGCTAGCCTAAAGAAAATGTCAATGTTTACTACATTTTTTGGAAAGTAATTTGATAAAAGGAAATATTTTTTAGTGAAAGTGAAATTTGTTCCTGAAACTTACTTTTGCAGTATGTTTTTTACTACCACTTATTATAACATAAAATTCCAATAACCTATTTTGCCTCTGACACTTCTTTTATGGGTTTTCATATCCTCGGCCAAGGGCTGAGGTTAAGCATTAAATGTTGCTTTATTTTCAACAATTACCTATACTATTCTTGTTAGTGTTAATTAGTAGCATTAAAACTCTTTAATTACAGTATTTCTTTTTTTAACTCTTCCATTTCCACTATGCCTTTTATACCCTTTTAAGTTCCTCTGTGTAGCTTCTTTTCAACAAGAAGGATGTGTTGCTCTACCCAATCCTTTTGACCTGGTGTTCTTGTTCGAATATTTTCACTAATTCTATTTCATTCATGTTCATACAATCATAATGTCATAGTATGTAGAAATATTCAGAAGAAAAAAATTAAAAAGAGGAAGAGGACGTGGGCAACGTTGCTCTTCCTTCACAAGCGGCCAGCTTCCACGGTAACTCATCACACTTTCATCCTTTGCAAAAGCCATATCCTAGCCACCACCTATTCCTTCCTTCAACAAACAAAACTGCCTCTGTTCTCCCTCTACCATTACTACAGTTCACCATAAACTAAACCATTTTGACCAACAATTAATGAGATGCGTCCAATGGTCCAACCCCATGATCATCGATATGACATTTTCCATTCATTTGGTTGAACAACTATGCTGTACAACACCTATCAAAGAGAATTGGGTAGAGGAAGACTTCCTTCTTGTCGAAAAGAAGCTGTGCAGAGGGGTATAAAAGGCACAATGAAAATGGAAGAGTTAAAATAGAACATCATTTAATGCTTAGCCTCTGAGAATAAGAAAACCCTTCTTTTGTTTAGAGTTCCGAACTTCGATATTATACAAGTTGCTTGTTGAATTTCTTTTGAAGCTCAATGTGGCTAAAATGTGATTTGGATATCTGTTTCTCTTAATTTGTGTGACAATTCATTTAGTTCTTTTTGAAATATATTGCTAAAAGAACTACTTTTGTGTGGTATTCTTTAGTAGGAATGTGACCTCTATTATCTAGAGTTTTTTTAGGATATGGAGAACATTATGATTTCAGTTTTCTTCTGTGCTAGAGTTTATGGACCAGAAAATTTGACCTGAATAATCAAAGTTCTATTGTTGTAGAAGTTGGTATCATTGCCAATTTGCCATTGGGTTAGATTGATTTCATCTAAATGCTTAAACATGAAATAAGTTGTACTTCAATATTGACAAAATACTGAAAGTTTTCATCTTAGCAAGGGAAGTTGTTTTATTCATTTATTGTATGAAGCTATCTTGGGTTCTAACTGTTATTATTAAATTTGGTTTGTGATGTGAATTTTTGTTACAATGTGTAGGGATTTAACCATGCAGGTGGATAGCAAGAAGTATAATAAGGAAATGTCTCTCATTTTGGAAAGAGGTGGTTCAAGTTTATGTCAATTTTTTAATCTGTACTTCCATTTCATTTTATACTCTAGCAATTATGACTTTTTCATAACCAGAGAAACCATCTTGGCGAGTATAAAATGTGTTAGGCATATTTTCATGTAATTTGTCAATAATTTCTGGGTTATGTTGTTTATCAATGAATGATGATGAGCAATGTCCACCTCATAGCCATGACTTTGATAGAGCATTAAACTGTCCATTTGGATAAAGTTTTATTGAATAACATCTGATATTGTTTGGAACCATCCAGAATCTGGTTCTAGAGTCTGTTCACCCTTGTATGGCCTGAGAAATGCTCAGAGTAATTATTCTGGCTCTAACTAAGATCACTGAGAACTGCTCAAAGTTACTCTATTATGAATATCTGCTGCCAGATAAACATGTGCCACAATGGTGTGCTATGTATTCTAATTAGAGTGTAAAATCTATGTACTGTCAGTGTAAGGATTTATACACACTTATCATATCATCTATCATTCATTTGAATTACTTTTTTGAAGAGTCAATAATAATTAAATATGAATGGTGATTGATGCAATGATAAATGTATAAAACAAATACACTGCTGTATACATTTTTTCCTCCTCTAATTATCAATAAATGTCATCTCTCAACATTTGTTTATTAGGTATTTAAATCAATTGGTCACTTGGAATGCACCACATAGGATTGTGACACACAATGTTGTACCAAAGATGTTGCCTCCAAAATAATAAATAAACTCTAGTTTTAAGATAATAATAGAAATTAGTCTTGCATATACTTGAGATGTTCCCCATGCATTCTGGTTAAAATAATGCCTAAATAAGGTAATTCCTTTATTACCAAAACAACAACTAACCTTATACATTTTTGCTTCTACTTTTTTTCCCTATTTTTTGGGACATCTTTGACATGAACACCAATAAAGTAACTTGCATTGCATCTTTAATTTCCATATTTTCCTTACATAAACCTTAACACAATAGTGTAATATTACAGCTTCAAAAACAAATGTTCATTAAACTATATTTCTTACTCTAACCTTGTTTTTCTTTCAAGATGCATGGGATTTCTCAAAAACTGAACAGGGTAAGACAAATTGATCACACATTCCAATTCCCTCCAATAAACTAATCTCTTGGAATTACTTGGTTTGACACAATAGCTGTCTTCTCCTTCAGTTCTT